CCCCAAAACCCCAAAACCCCAAAACCCCAAAACCCCATAATATCATTGGATCGTTGAATCTTGATTCTAATTGGTTTATTTCCTGAATCAGCAGCTACGAAGAAGCAGTTATGAGAGTAACTTATTTAACGTTTTTAGAAAGTTCATGGCACTCTATTAACACCTTCTTAAGTCCTTCCTGAATTGCTAATCTTTTGAGTTGGCGTCCTGGAATCATAGGATAGAAGAATTCCATCTTCTGAAGGGATGTCTTGAGAGACGAGGCTGCTATGGCCTGGAAGAGCCTACAGTAATGACCATTTGATTCATGAGCAAAATCCATTCCTGTGAATTCACAGTAATCAAATTTGATTTCTTTTATTTCATCTATTCAAGGTTAGTAACTTTCAATAGGAAGAGACTCTCAAAATTAGCAAAAGAGCTTATGTAAAAATACGTAACATATTCATTGCTTAAAGACGTTTTCGAGTATTTTCAGCGAGGTTTTACAAATATTTTGAATTTGCTCAAACTCTGGTGAAAATTCTTACATTGGATATGTTTTCCCAAATCTAGCTGACCAAAATCCATGCAACAGGATTCAAACATGATGGTGTGGGTATAATAATATCTCTTGAGGATCTTCTCTAGCACTGTATCTGGGATCAAGAAATTTGTCAATGTCAGAGTCTTAAACACTATGGGCAAATATCTTCAATCTTTTAGGTCATAATAACCATCTTCCTCTTCCATACATCCTGAAAGATGTAAAGAATCGGTCTTAATGGATTTGAAGGGTTCTAGGAGTCTTCTTGAACTAACTTCTTTCTCTGGACACTCGAAGTTCAGCTTGAAAGTTTGAAAATGTCTGAGCAAGTAAAGGTTAATCTAAATTTGTCAAGGTATGATGAAAATCAGCTTACCGCAGAATGCTTTCTCACTATCTTAGAGAATCTAAGAGCATCAGTTACGCTTAGTTCGAGAGCTTTCCCTCCTTCTGTTCATTTTAGTACATTAGTCACTTTCCTTTTCTTAAGTGATTTCAAGCTAATGACTGATTCTTCTTGGCGAGTAACTTTCTCTTGGCTATGACTTTCCATTTAATTATTATTCATAATTGATTTTCCAATATTTTAAATAGTGATAGGGGTTTTGGGGTTTTGGGGTTTTGGGG